TATTTAAATTTATGAAAATGAATCCCCACGTAATTATAGTTCTCAACGCGAATGCTAAAATCGCACCAAAATTTCAGTTAAGTTGAACAAAAATGTTCAGAGGTACGACGAATTGTCCTCCAACTTCAAGTCACGTAAAAAGTTTAAAAATTTATATTATCAATTCGATCACGTGAAGACTCAGATTTAAATAGATTCAGAGCCCATAATCGACCATGTGAAATGTTTTGTAGTGCAACCATAATTTTTTCCTCATTCGATTGCATCTTTCACAATATTTCCTTGTTGTATGCGACAAAACCAAAATCTTATTTGGATTTATGCCGTGCTTAGCCCTCTGTTAATAAGTATAATTAACTCGTAATTGTGTGTCGTTTTATTACCGGTCATGTAACTGAAAAAACATGCATGGATTTGCAAATATTTGAGTTTGTCCCTATTAACATCGGACCCTTATCAAGGAATCTATTATGCAAATTTTGAGAATCAATAAAACTAAATGTACACACTTAATTCACATTAAATTTCACACTCCCATCACATAGAGGTGGGGCCCACAATCGCAGGCACCACCCCCATGTGAGGGAGATGTGAAACTTAATGTGAACCAAATCTATACATCTAGCATGGTTCTTTGAGGAATAATCTTGCCGACAAATAGTTTTGTAGTCCAATAAGTTATGTTGACCCCTAAAAATGAGCTCAACAGATGTCGGGCACACTCTTGTCACGTCAAGTATGATTCCGTCGCATTTTTACTGGAATGACGGCGGTAATCTGTCGAGAATGGATGCGGGATGCACTTTCTGGAAAGAGACGAAAACATTCGGATTTCAGCGATTCGAATCAATGACAATCGCGCTATCAACGACTGCCGGACAAAATAACCAAGAATGTCTCTTTCTATCTGCTTGAAGGTTTATGTGGAACGATAGATTGGGGGAGTAATTTGTGGGAGATTCAAAGTGTTTTCTACTTGAATTTGTACTCCACTTTTAGATATAAAAGGTTTAATAGAGAGACTGCAAAGTATTCTTCCTTTATCTCTTGAGAGTTTACAATGCATACGTGTCTTCTTCCTCTCCCCTCTCTTTGTACAAGGAGAAGCTATTTATACTACCATGACTGATGTGATGATCATTGGATCAAAACCAGGTGGAACCACGTGCCTCAACTTCAAACTTCAATGCTTCACATAGGTGAGAGGAGTTCGGCATTAGCTTCGGACTTCGGTGAAAGGACTTCGGATGTTTGTCTCTTTTACTATTTTGACTTCATTGACCTTCTGTGACTTTACTGCTAACTTTCTGTCAACGTGGCTTTGCTATCCACGTAGATGTCTCTCCTGGAGCCTCAGAGGCGAAGCATAACAAGTTATATAATTATTTTTATATAATAAAATGGTGGCTTTTAAAGTTTTCTTTTCGGGCTGTTGGTAAAAAAAGGTTATTATAAAATATTGGTCCAATTTTAAATAATTATCCATGTCGTGTAAAAACAGAAATGTAATTAATTAATTTCACGACTGCATTAAGTAAACAAGGATAATTATTATTTAATTAAATCTAAGAGAGATGGGTTTTTGCACCTCTCTCAGCACATGCTTAGATACTAGCCAACCACCATAAACAAATATAAACAATAAGATATTGAGATCCACCTAATTAAATTAATAAAACATATAATTATTAATTAATGAACAAGCAAACTTGAGTGAGGACAAAAAAATTGTGCCCTTTTCAATGCGAAACATATATTCCGTATATCATTTCACAATCTTTAACGTAAACTTTACGTCAATTACATAGATTTGATCTCTTTGACAATAAGAATTTTTTTTTTTACGTGAACCCATAAGTTAATGTACGCGGTCTTTAGTTGTTCTAATTGAAACGGCGTATTCGATAGAATTCTTATAACATTGATTATTATTGCAAAAACACAAGATTCAAAATTTTTGATAGAAAGCATTGACTTTAGACTTGATTATAAATTTTGAATTGAACTAACCATAGTATGTGATTTTGTTAGGCCCGCTAATCAAGCAAAGATTGAGGAACTCCCAACCCCATGTGCCTCAAGAAACTCACCC